GGACAGAAACCACAATCGAATCCCCTTAGAGAGGCGACTATAGACATGCTAACCATCTACTTTCATTCATTCTATAATAGTATCTATATTGAAGCCTCATCTTTCAGAGGAGTTTATCTTTTGTTCCTCATTATGGGTTCAAACCAATCTCCTCTCCCCACAGTGAGTAAAGATCCCACTTTGTGAACAAACCTGGTAGCTAATAATCATATTAGAGTATTATACAATCCATTAGCTTCACGTCACATGGATCACTGAGGGAATCGATAAAATTTACCACGAATGGTCTGATAGATGAGGTTATACAAGACTTACTGGAGGAGGGCGAATGCACACCTAGACAAATTTTGGCCTTGAAATCCCTTGATTTTGAGGTTCTTTGGAGTTCAATCCTTACAAGATAGCATGGGGCATCTTTTTGTGTTGGTCAATACTTGGGTCAAAAGAATCCGATTTTGGGATATATCACCCTTTCAGCAATGCATACGAGAAACTTGTAATTCGAGGACGAACTAGATCGCAAAACCGTGCCCAGAGGACCCTGTTGCTGGCGGTCCGTAAGTGGTTCATTGAGCTAAGGGAATAGAATGGAAGGAGCGGTGACTGAAGTGACTTGGGAGGATTATCATGGGGTAGCCTGTTTTCATTATTCCTTTTGTTTGTTTCTTATTTTCATAATATGGTATGGAGTAGGGTTGTCCTGTTGGTTCTTGAGTCTCTGAATGAAGAATGTTTCTTGAGCGTTAGCCTACAAGTACTCATAAAAACATTTCCCAACTCCAAGAATGGAGCGATCCCTTACGATGAGGGTCCGAAAGCGGTGCCCTGGATGCCTCTTTAGGTCGCGTTAGGATCCTTTTTTTGATTCTTCTGAGCAAATAACAAGTTCCTCCAGGGGCTACGCACCGCGACCCGGCGCATCGCTGCCGCCCCATCGTACCGGGCGATTGCAGTAGTGTCCTTTGCTAAACACTCATCCCTAACTTACCTGTAGAACCTGCCCTACTAGAGATTATTATTGGCTTATGTAAGCAAGGGAGGCCGCGGAAATGGTTGAACATGGCGCTTAGAAAAAACGAAAATACCTCTTTTTTACCCAAACTGCAGTACCGGTATTTATACTTGGGCTAATCTTTTCCTCAAGCGCCCTTCGGTAATTGGTTTATGTAATAGAGTTGGGGATTTGGCTGACTTTGAGGCTCACTGAGACTTGCATGGTATCATACGGCAGGATTAACAACTCTGAGCCCTCTGGGAGTTTGCTCAATCTTTGTGAGGACGCACCACTAAATCCTTGACTATTATCCCTACGGTACGATATGGTACTTGTACGGTATGGTACTGTGAAGAGCACTTAGCCAAAATCCGGCCACAGTTTCCCACGCACACAAGAGCCACTAACTAATCCCAGCATCACACACTCCAGGAATGAGAGAAGCACGAAGGGCGAAGTAGGAAAATTGGTCGAAAGGGTAACCTCCCCCACACTGCCCACCGATCCGTCCACACCATCAAGCCAGCCCCCCAACCAACTACCGGTACGACCCATCGCTATCCTAAGGGGGGGAGAAGGAGGAAAAAAGTGTGATGAAATCCAAGACACAAGAAGGGAAAAAGGTCCACAAAAACCTTGAGCCATCTGCTCTGAAGCGAGGAGCTAGCCTTCTGTCAACACACGAAGCAACCTACGAGGGATTAGTTGAAGACACGGGATACCGGATAGACTACAATTCCGAGCGCCTTGGGCTTTCACACGTTATCGGGCAGAAGCCGCGTCTGTCGGGAGTGGCCCCGCCGCGACCGAGGGGGAATCCATTTGAGGAAGCTGAGGACGAGGAGGATGACTTGGATGAGGCGGTCGCGAAATTGACCGAAAATATGAATTCTGGCATAAGTAATCGAGGCGGGCATGGTGCACCGGGGAGGGGGATGGTTGGGGGCGGGAGGGGTAGGGGAGGGCCTGGTGGGATGGCGAATCTTGGGAGATATAGTCTACCGCCGCAGGTACCGATTCCGACGTATAATCCTGTAACAAGACCGGTACCGCAGGCATATCAGCAGCAGGGTGGGACGCAAAGGTCCCCTCAGAGTCCGCCTAGAGTACATTTCGGAGTGGTGAACCCGCCTCGCCCGCAACAGGCAGGCGGGGGTATTTTTGCGCCGGGGAGGGGTTCGGCAGTACAAAATCCTCGGATATCGAGTGCTCCCATGCTGGGACTTGGACGAGGAGGTATGGACAACATCCCATTGTATAATTCTCCTCAGAGGCAGCCCCTACCCCCTCCGCCCCCTCGTCCACCGGCCCAAACCGCGCCCGCATACACTGTATAACCACAGGGCTACAACAATTCTGCGTACCGCCAGAAAAAAATTCTGGAAACACTAATCCAGCAACAAGAAGAGGATAACCGCAAACGAGATGCAATGAGAGACCAGGGTTTACAGCCGCCCGCCTCAACATATAGCAATGTCTCGAGTCGGGAAGGCTCGCTCCTCAATGTGCCAAGTAGCAATTCTTCGAGCCTGAGTCTCCCATACACTTCAATACCTACCGTTCAGGGTTCAGATAGGCGATCTAGTACTAGTGGTATCGCATCACCGTCGGTGTACTCAAGAAAAGTCCGAGAGGAAGTCCTCCAAAGGCAGCAAGAAGAAGAGGAAATCCTCCGACGGCAAAAAGAGGAAGACGAGCAGCGTGAGCGGCTGGCGCCATTGGCGCAGGATTCCGCAACCCCGCAACACCTGCAGAGTCCCCCCACATCTCCGACAACCCCTAGGAGCCCGGGAGCAACAAGAACCACGCCAACGCCCCGGTACGCAGAGTATAAGCCTAGGGCGGCAATGTCAGAAGCGCCCCCCCCAGACTTGGAAAGAACCCCAGCAGGAGCCGCAACCGCCCATGACCAACGGTCATCAAATCTATTCGACCGGCCGTGCACTGCAACCACAGTCATGAGCCTCCCGGAGCTCAGTATGAATAGAGCAGATCCACCGCGGAGGCACCTGTCAACGCAATCTTGGCCTGGACCCGATCGGATAAACTCTTTAGAAATAGGCCATGCCGTAAGACATCGGAAACCTGTACCTAAACCTCGGGAAAATTCAGACACCCCACCAACTTCACCGCTACCAGTATCAAATATATCTGCAAGCGGAACCGATGAAAAACCACTACAATACACCGGCCTCCCCAGAATCCATCGATGACACCAAAAACCCCCCTCTGCCCCCGCCAACCGAACTCCCGGGGCTGGCCGCGACAAAGCCAGGCACACATTGCATGAGCGACGACATAACCCGCCGCCCATCTATCGCGCACAAGCACAAATTCAATGAAGAGCACGAAATCCAATGTCTCAGCGACGATATCCAGAACGGCTCACTAATCGACGAGAAAGGTGCTCTTCCACCGGAATTCTTCGACAGGCACCGGACTGCGTGCATCAGCGATGATCTAGCAGGGGTATACTCGGGCCTCGGTGAAGAAGGCGAGCAGGAATTACAGTCCAAGATGGCGCAGGAAGAACGCTTGCGGGAGGAAAGGGAAAGGTCGTGCTTGGGTGATGAATTGAGTGCGTGGCATATCGACCGCTCGGGATTGATTCAAGTTATTGAAGAGGAGGAGGGCGAATCACCTACCCATGCACAACCATATACTGCTCAGGTTCCTACCGTGGTGGAGGAGGCGGATCCGCGACGGTGATACCTCTTTTCTTTGGAAGGCTTGGGTGCCCCTGTTTCTAACATTGATCGGCGAATGGAGATGTAGTCGCTCGAAGTTATTCAATAATCCCGGACATTTAGACCGTAGACCCCCGCCGCCGCCGAAACCTCCGAAGGTACCAGTTGCCCCGCCGAAGGTTCCGGAGACTCCGCCGCCCCCTGAGGAGGAGGATGAAGCGCTGCCGCCACAGCCGCAGTGGGACTTTAGTTGGGAGTATTATTAGAGGGTCTAGGTTTTCTTTTTTACCTAGGATTTAGAATTGATATTGGTGTTGGCTGGAGTTAAGCGGTGGATAATAATGGATGATCTGGGCTTCTATGCATTTGCCCGTTTTGGCGAGTAAATATTTAGATGGGCCTTCGGCAGGAATCTGGGTATATAGGTTAATTACGTGCCATACAGTATTTGGCCATCCAATTCTTGAAGTGAATTGAACTGGCTCTGGTAACGCACTCTCAATCATCACTATCGTAGATATAACTTACCGATACTCTTAAGTCTCGCTTCGAACCCCCCCCTCTAGAGCACCAGGTAAGCAGTGCTCGGATCAAAAAGTATAATCTATTAGACCCCACAATCCACAGAACCGCATTCCAACCGCCGGGCAGCTATCCCCGCCCACCCCCCTCTTAAGGCATAGCCAAAGCTACCCATCCATCCACCCGCCAACCATAAAATAACTCCCTCCACTGGGCCCTCCCCCCGAGTCATTGAAGAGGGAGAATCTCCCCAACACTCCCACAAGTGCACTGTTCTGTACCCGCCGGTCCACCACGACCACAAGACACCCAGACCCATCCTACGACCAACCAGCACATCACATCACATCCAACATACGATACAACGCTGGGCACCGTAGGTGCCACCACCACACAATATTCCCACCGCTTCCGAAGCCAAGCTCTCCCGTATTCAACGGGCAAGTGCCGCGGGGAGGCAGCCGTGTACAGGAACTTCCGGCGATATGTGGTCTCGGTATCGTACGGTAATGTAGGGCACAGGTGCGCTCCTACGGCTGCCTAGCCCGGGCGTTTTATGCTTGGGCACGCGGGGCTGTTTTTGCGACATGGACGGCGGGGCGCGAGTTCTGGTGGGGGTGGGGAGTGTGCGCTGATCTTGTCATGGAGCGTCACTCGGTTGTGTCCGGCTTCTAGAGTCTCGGCGTGAAGGGGAGGGGGCGGAAGTGGGTATTTTTCGGGTGGGGTTTTTTGAGATTGGCCAATGCTGGAGGGTTGGTGGATACAAGCTGTTTGTATGTGTTTGGGTGGATGTATTGCGGAGGTCCTAAGTCGAGAGAATTGCTGAATGTTCAATATTGACACCGAGTCAGAGTCGTGGCTGGTGCTTTCTACGAGTACATGAATTTTGGTACAATGTCGTGTACTTTTAGAGTCCACCGCTGGGTGGATCGATGGTATCTCACACTCCGGCTAACCCAGCACGAAAATTTCATCTGGGGTGCGCCACGGTGCACCGCGTGAATGAGATGGTGCTAGCCGTACGCTGGGCCTGCAGTCTACAAGTAGGATGAATAAAGCCTTAGGGCCTGTCTGGTACGCCAGGATTTGGGCTTGAAATCCGGATTACGCCTTAAACCTTGGCTTTGGGTCGGGTCGTGTTTGGTATGACAGGATTACTCTAGGATTTTCTTTTTTAGAATTTTGGATCGGTGGAGAGCATTTGGCTTACATAACTACTTCTATATTATCTGCCTTGACCTTATCTTTATTGTTTCACAGATACACAAATCGTTACTTTTCTGTTAAAGTCTAAATCGAAATCCTATCGTGTTTGATATGGCCGATTTCCAAAGTCCGGACTTTCAAAGTTTCTGGACTTTGCTTTTCAAGTCCGGACTTTAAGTCCACGTCCCAACCTAATCCTAGCACACCAGACAAGCCCAAGTTACCGAATTCTTGACCAGTTTGTTGAATTCAGCGGTTCGCGTATCCTACAACTTTACGGAGGCTCACTGCATTTTTTTTCACGGTCACAGTCCTACATGTAACTAGCAGCTAATGGCCGACCCTTTGTAACCCGAGTCCTATAATACCGTCCTTGTAAAGGGTGTCATAGATATCACTCTCTAGAGCGCCAGCTTTTCCGGCGCAGATATGGGATGGCCCGTTTAGTGCCCACTCCTTAGTCACTACCTCGGGGTTTGTCTGAAGTACAAAGGACGGAGATGGAATATCTTCGCCTCTCACGGCCCAGTTGGAGGGTATGATTAGCAAGCGTGCGTTTTATACGGGGTGTAAGCTTTAACAACGTTTTCAGGGGACGTGCTGTAAATGAGAAGTGAAGAATACGGTTGGCTTAACAGGGAATTAACAGCCCCCAAGGCCCAGAAGAAGGTCCCTTGAAATTGGGGGCAAGTTATTGGAGCGCACCAATTAGTCCGGCCGTAGCACCACTAGCCAATAATTTGCTACTCTGGGTATCATATCGTATCTTCCGGCCTTCCGAGTCTTCTCTCTTCGCTATTTCGGCCTGGGGGTTAACTTATCTGCATTGCCCCTGCTCTCGGCACCCCTACTCGACTCTACCGCCACCACTATCGTTAACACTGGGATTGATTATCCGCTGCGTCCCTAGGTTGGTCTACTCTTCTCTGGCGTAGGAGCTACTGTCCTTGTCTCCCTTCCACCTAATATGGACCAAATGTGTAGACCCTATACCGCTTACAGAAAGTAAGAATTATAGAGTGATGTCGGCGGGAAACGTGTTTACATGTTATCATGCGACATCCCTAATGTACCAGCGGAGCAACTGGACATAGAGAGCCGCGCTGGGAGAAGCGCCTGTTTCGCCCTTGGATCGGGCGTTTGCCACTCCTCCGGTGCCGGAAATGTTACCTCAATGTTGTCATAAAAAGTGAAAGCACGCTCGGCTACTTACCGTACTATCACGCTTTATATATCGGGGCTCGAGGAATGGCCAGGAGCCATATCAATGTACTGTACATAGATTCCACTTGTTAGCATAAGCAAAGCGGTCCAAGGCCTATACCAAACAAGAAACAAAGCAACCAGAATTCACACCCTGCCCTTAGTCTCTATGAAGCCATTTTACCCCGTCCTCGTTCTCCTGCTTCTCTCGCTCGACCTCTAACATCTCCCCATCTCATCAAACCGAGTGATGCCATATGACACTAAGTGACTTTGAATCGTCTCTATTAACATCTTGATCGCTACATGATTTGATCGGTTTGAGTGCTATATGGTACCATGTTTGGATTTTCCAAACACGATTTGAAATGATAATGCTGATTGGTATAATTTTAAGTTTAAAAACGGTTATTGGTTGTTTGTAAACGTGTTTTGAGAGCATGTTTTGGAACCACAATTATTTCAAATAATGGTAAGTCAAACACCTTAGCTGCTGCATGTAACATCTTGCCCCAATAATAAAATAAGAACTATGAGTTAAAAAAAAAACACTTAGACAGGTGCAACTGCATCCGCCTCAACAGGCAATTGAAGTACTGTTTCCTTTTTCTCATTTGGGTTCGCCTCGCCCTCTCTTTTAATCCTCTTACCCCTCGTGTGATTCTCTGTCTCCTCCGGTATCAAGTTTATCTTCCCTATTTCCAGTATATCGAGTATACAATCAGAGTATCTTTTCTTACAAGGGCGGCATTCCAGTGGTCACAACACTATCTACCTCTGAGAAGCTTTCGAAAATATCCTACACCGGTAGTATTCTCCTAGGAGGGTTCCTATCCTTTTTTGAGGCCCTTGCTTACATAAGATTTCTAGGTCTTGGGGGATATACCATAGGGTATCATATATCTTCATTCCTAAGTAGAATGGGATCATCATCGATTACATAGTTCTTCCTCTTTCGCGTTTTTATTGGCTTTTCCCCTTGTTCCTCTCCCTAAACAAATCGCTTTGTTATTGTATCGATTCTGGAAACATCTGATGTGATCTAAAAACTTGAAATTCGATTAACATCCCTAAAGAAGCCGGTAGCAAATACAAAACCTAAATAATAATAAAAAACACTTTTGTCCTGGGGCGAACCCAACGCTTGTACACAAATTCCCATTGCAAAAAAGACAATAATCTTAAACCTGAGGAAGTAGTCGCTGGACATGGGTAGAACGTTTAAAAATACTCAAAACGTACTCCGGCGATCCACCACATCGATTCTCCCTGCTCTAAAGTAGTAATAAAAAAAGAATGAAAGGAAAAAAAGGCTGTCCCTTCACCCCCCCTTTTTTTCCCCTAAGCGACGGGGGGTTCCGCTACCAACTGGTAGTAATGTATGTTGCATCTTTCAAAGTGTCTCCTCATCCGGACCCGAATTTTGAGTTAGTTAATTCCCTGTTATATATGGCTACCGGCCAGTCTATCAAGTATCCAGACATCTTGGCACTGTTGATGCCTGTGTTGGGGCCATTGTATCGGGATACTTTATAAACGGGCTAGCACTTGTACTTAGACAGGGGGGGTCAAGACTTACATCCCCAAGAGTTCGTGTGTATGCACCACAGATAGGGCAGTAGTATCTTCCTTCGCGCTGGTGATTCCTTCTACCATCGTTGCCCACGCTGTCACCCGCTGCGAGTAGTTCCGCTGGGGTTGGGCTTGCGGCCTCCTCTTCGCCCTCACCTTCACCCCCCTCTTCGCCCTCATATCCACCCTCCTCTCCGCCCTCATATCCACCCTCCTCTTCGCCCTCATATTCACCCTCATCTTCGCCCTCATCTTCTGAGGCTCGGTCTGGGACTTGGTCTGCGGCCTGATCACCACCTTGGCCTGTGCGTTGCCCACCACCACCGCTGCCTGAACTAGCAGAGAGGCTAGCAATAAATCTGAGCATAGTGAGCTCTCTAGTCGCCGCTTGCCTTTGATCTGCCTGAAAACGTTCGTCCAGCTGCTCTATTCTCTCTGCTAAACTTTCATCTAGCTGCCCCACTCTGTCTGTCAATGCTCGAATTGCGGCCGCGAGTTCCGAAGATATGGGTGGGGTAGTCTGGACAGCAGATTCGGTAGTCTGGACTGTAGGCGCTAGTACTGCTCTAGCTGGTTCTAGTTGCCTCGCGTCATCCCCTTCCTCCAATATTCTGTTCAACGCAGGGGCCTCGTCCTGGATAGTAGCAATCATGGACCTTGCTAGTGCACTAGCCTCCGCTGCCATAGCCTCCGCTACCCTAGTCTCCGCTACCCTAGCCCCTGCTATCCTAGCCTCTGTTGCCCTAGCCTCCGCTGCCTCAGCCTCTGTTGCCCTAGCTCCCATCTCCCGAGCCTCTGCTCTAGCCTCTGCTGCCCTAGCCCTAGCCTCCGCTGCCCTAGCCCCCATTGTCCTGGCTTCCGCCGCCCGAGCCTCTGCTCTAGCGTTCGCTGCCCTAGCGACCACTTTCCTGGCCTCCACTGTCCTAGCTCCCGCTGTCCTAGCCTCCGCCAGACTAGCCTCCGCTTCCCTAGCCTCCTCCATCCTAGCATCCGTCTCTCTCGCTCTGGCGTTTGTGCCAATAATTTCTGCTGCGTCCGTAGCTCTTCTATTGGCCAATTCTAGGTCTCTGATTCTTGTGAGTTTTGTCATTTGGTCAAGTGTTCTCGGAGCGCTGCTAAGCTGTGCTCTCAATCGGCGTCTAAGATCAACGAGCCTTGTCTGGCCACATTGGACCACCGCTGGATCACCGGTGGCCTGTAACGCTACCATCTCGGCTTCTTGGGCAGCAATCTCTGCTCTTATCCTGGCGATTTCGTTCATAGTTAGGGGTTCCTGGACTGCAGTTAGTTTCTTTCGTAGGATAGGAATAGGCTTGGTTACAGACCCTAATTACCAACGATAGTTGTCGCTCCCCGTCGGGGAGTCCACTGGACTCTTCGATCATGGACTGGAAAGAGTCCTGACTATCCAGGGCAACCGGATCCTCGGTAGCAGATTGTGGGAGGACGTAGGTTAGTGAATCTGACGTACCAAGCCAGTAGGCAACAAGGGTTGAGAGAAAGTTCCAGTCCATATAGTCCATGGCGCTTGCCACAGCTGCGGTGATTGGGCCGGCTACGGCATTGTTACCATCGCCATCGTATCTGGTTGCAGTTATCCTAAAGGTGTTGGTTGTGCCCTATAGACCATTT